GTTGAAGGACATTAGTGAAGCAGATGGATGTTTACAGGGTCACCATTAGGCTAGTTTTTAATTAATTCAAATAACATCATCTGTCATTGTGGATTTCAAACATATGGCCCAGAACATTAGCCTAGTGTTTTAGATTATTAGTTCTATGATATTAACAGTATGCCAGTGTCTCTTTGGAAAGCCTCAATATTCTTCCTAGGAGCCCAATATTATATATCATACTTTGAATTTTATTGGGTTTTATGAAGACTTATCATTACCTCTAAGCTTCTTTAGCTCTTTTAATTAGGTGCAGAAATCCATCAATCTGTATGTTTTCCTAATTTTTTCTTTTAGCAGAATAGATAACCTCACTTACACTGACACTGAATTGCATATGCCATTTTTGAACCCATGTCATAATCCTACCAATATCTCTTTGCAGTTTTTTCGGTCTTCTAAAAAATTACCGACACCTCACATTTTGGTATCATTTGGAAATTTTGATACGTCTCCTGAGGCCTATATCCAAATCACTGATATACACAGTGAACAGAAGTGCCCCTAGAATTGAACCCTATGGGACACTACTACCACCACCACCCACTTTTGCAGATCTGACGAACTCTCCGTAACTCCAAATTTCTGTGTATGTTTGGCTGTAATTGGTCACAAATGTGTAAGTTGAACAGTGACATAGAGGACTTATCAATAAAATTTGGCTGGAAATGCTTACGAAAATGATGGTAAAAATGTATGCAATACAAAAGTGAGGAAATGCTAAGTAAACAATAAGCTTGCCTACTAGAAGGAGATGAACTAACGCAGTAAATTTTCCCTCTGAATGTCTGATGTAAAAAGTTGGAATGATCAGCTTTATATAAATAGACAGTGCTCTACTCCTCCACACCAAGAAATCTATCACCTGTGAAGTACAAAAATGTTCCAGAATTGATCATAATAGTATGTTTTGAAGATAACATATCCCTGGACTTTCCTAGAAATTCCCAAACTGACATGCACTGGAGATGGAACCAGCACCTAGAAAGAATTTGTATGGTTTTTTAGATTGCTACTGCTGATAAACCTTGGAATGAATCATTCATTACCAAACATAGTACTTAAGATTTTTAAATCAATCCATATCTCGCTCTCACATTGCAACAACACAAAAACACTCTTTTCCATTGATATAAACAACAGATTTATATTTATATACTTAATTCAATAAATTTTTATTTAATACTTTCATAAATGGAGCACGTGACCTGTTTTGATTGGATTTTTCTTCATAATTGAATTTTTATTATGTTACTTTAAAGCAGAGCTTGCTACATCTCAGCAAGGTCTTCTTCACATGTGGCTTAAGTGAATATATTTTGGTATATTTTGCATTCTTGGTAACTTCAAGTTCTAGGTCCCTGTTTGCTGCAAGCATCAATTCAAGTTCTATCAGATGGTATTCTAATTAAACATAGAAACTAAGAGCAGGAGTAGACCATTCGCCCCTTTGAGCTTGCTCCACCATTCAATATGATCATCTATTTCAATTTCTCACCATACTCCTTGATGCATTTAAAAGCTAAAAATATATCTACTTCTTTCTTGAATATATTCTGTCATTTGACTTCCACAGACTTATGTGATAGAGAATTCCATGGGTTTGCCTCCCTTTGAGTAAATAAATCTTTCCTCCTCTCAGTCGTAAATGGTCTACCCCATATCCTGAGTATATGTCTCCTGGTTCTAGACTCCCCAGCTATGGAAAAAAATCCTCCCTGCATCTGGTCTGTCTAGCTTGGTTAGAATGTTTTACATTTCAATTAGATCCCTTCACATCCTTCTAAATTCATGTGAAACCAATCTCTCCGTGTAGAACAGTCCTAGCCTTCCCAGCCTAGTAAACCTTTGGTTCCTCCATGGCAAGTATATCCTTTCTTCAGTTGGGAGACGAAATGACATTGTTGCAAGATGGCTGCAGGAGTTGGACTCTCCAGTCGGAGCTCGTCTGTTCTGCCTGTTCTTCTCTTTTACTTCCTCCTAATGTTTTTACTTCTTGTTCTGCTTTTTCTTTTTTTCTCTCTTCGACTCCCAGCCACGATTCCTGGCCTCTAATAAGCACCGATCCACAGCCTATGGCGACGACTCCCAGCCTGGAGCAGCAGCCTCCAGTGTAGTGTGGTGAGATCCTGGCCTGCTGCAGCGGCCTCCTCCCGTAGGGGAGTCCCGGGATGGTATGGCACCCTCCCAACCTGGTGCAGCAGCCTCCTGGCGTGGCGTGGTGACCTCCCAGCCTCCTGCAGTGGTCTCCTGGCATCGTGTAGCATGTCGCTGGTGCGGTGTGGAGCCAGGGCCCAGTGCGGATTGGAAGCTAGGTACCAGCGTTGTCTTCTGTACTGAACTTTTATTCTGTAATGCTGGACATTTTATTTCTGTATTGTCTAAGATCTTGTAACTAAAGAAGCTGTGCCTAGGTACTTTTGTATATAAGTTGGCGCTGTAATTGGCGACACAAACTTTTCACTGTACTCATTGAGTATATGTGACAATAAAGGCTATTCTATTCTAATACTCTAGGTGCAGTTTCACCAAGGTTATGTACAATTGCAGTAAGCTATCCTTACTTCTGAACTCAAATTGTCTTGTAATGCAGGCCAACATACCATTTGCCTTCCTAAGAATTGGACACAATATTCCAGTTGAGACCAAAGCTGTGTTTTCTAAGGGTTAATCATATGTCACTTGCTTTTGTTCTCTGCACCCCAATTAGTTTTATCAATTTTAGTTTTCTTTCTGTTGAAAGTCCCTTTCTATACATATACTCGATTTGATTATATAAATTTGATTTTCTTACATTCAATAAACAATGTTCTTTGCTATGCTACTTAAAAAGACATGAAATCAGACAAAATAAGGCCTATTTTTCTGGGCCCAAGGAAATGAACCCACATCTAATGTCATTTCTCAATGCTGTGATTTCTTTTTGAGGCTAAATTTTCATGCTGTGGGCAACATGTGGGTGGCTGCTGAGATCTGCTATTGGATGTAGTCAGGCAGACACAGGAAGTTGAAGCTCTGCTGCAGACTTTAAAGTTATGTAGCTGCATAAAGTGGCCATCGTATCCCTGGGTCTTGAGAGAACCTATGTTTTGGCAAGCTATTTCCAAAAAAGGGCCATTCAGCTTCTTGTGTTTGTGCTAGCTCTATGCAAGAGCAAATCAACTAATTCACCCCCATGACTCTCCTCTGCAAAGTTGCCCTGCAAATCTTTCTTCTCAATTGCTCATTCAATTCCCCTTTGAAAACCATGCTCCTATCAGTCTTTATCAAACTCTCCAGTAATACATTTCTCATCTCAATAACTTGCTGTGTAAAAACATTTTCCTCATATTGCTATTAATTCTTCTCGCATCCATTTATATCAGTGTTCCCTGGTCTCCACACTTCTGCCACAAACTTTGTCTCAATCTACTCTGTCTAGATCCCTCATTATTTCGAACACGACTATCAAATCTCCTCTGAAAATTCTCTTCTCATAGTAGAACAGTCCCCAGAATCTCCAATATCTCCACATAATTAAAGTACCTCATCATTGGAACCATTCTCATATATCTTTTCTATGTCCTTTCGAAAGGTTTTATATCCTTTCCAATGCATGATGCCTAGAATTGAACACAGTCTTCCAAGTGAGACCAAACCAATGTTTTATAAAGGTTCTTTATCTATAAACCTTCCTTACTTTTGTTTTCTAAGCTCCAATTTACAAAAAAAATTGGATTTATCCTGTCACTTTCAATGATTTGTGCATATGCATCCCAGCTACCCTCAATACTCAAATCCCCTTTAGAACAATAACCTTTATTTCATAATCGTCTCACCTCATTCTTAACAAAATGTATCACTTCATACTTTTCTACACTGAATTTCATCTGCCACATGTCCACCCATTCAATCGGCCTGTCTATGTCTTGACATCTATCACTAGTTTCCTCACAATTCACAAGACTTCCAAGTATTGTGCCATTTGCAAATTTTGAGATTGAGCCTTGTACAGCAAGATTATGTCGTTATTGTTCCTGGGAACACCACTACCATTTATTAGTCTGACAAACAACATTCTCCACTAATCTCTGCTTTCTGTCACAAATTTGTATTCATGCTGCTACCATCTTATCATATTATCTCATCAAAAAACTCATTCAAGCTACTTAAACATGATTTGCATTAAACAAATCTGTGTTGCCTGTGTCGCCTTTCTATAATACATCCAGTGATACTAGAAAAAAAATTGGTTGTTAGTTTTGACATAGCCAGGAGCTTATGTTTAAAATGCTGGCGAAAACTAGGAGAGATCTGTGGCATGAGAAGTAAATGTTAAATGATTCTCCAATTCGTCAGGCTCCCGCTAAAGAGGACAGACCAGAAAGTGCAGACTGATTGGACGACAAGTTGGAGAATCAGAGGGATCTCTTTATTCCCTAACATGAAGGCAGTGGCATGCTGAGCATACCAAGAAGTAGCTGTCTGTAACGTAATGTTGAGGTCAGCAGTTCAATAATAGAGAAGTTCTAGTGATGTCAGAAGGTGAGGGATAGATCGAAACCACAGGGGAGGCATTGGGGAAGTAACCCAGAGACGCAGGCTGATGCCCTGGGGATGTGTGTTTGAATCCCACCACTGCAGATGGTGAAACTTTAATTCAGTTAGTTAATGGTCTAATGTCCTAAAAATCCATCCGGTTCACTAAACTACTGGGTAAGAAATTGGCTGTTCTTACTTGGTCTGGCCTAACTTGTGATTGCAGACAAGCAAACTCTTATATGCTCTCGAACAAACCACACAGTTCTATCAAACTATTTCAAAGTTTAGGAAACGAAATGACACTGGATGGACCACCCAGAATCAACCTAGGAAACAGACAATGGCAAACTCAGGACTGCAAAGTCCTCCTTGTTGTCTTCTGGACCACTGTTCACAAACTAGACAGGTCTGAAATAGTGTATTCAGGGAATCATACTTACAAACAATGTTGCAGACACCACTATTCCTAGTGATATCCTCTTCCACCTGGAAGGCAGACTCATCAGAGGTGGTGGGCACAGTGGTGTACAGTTGGGACTCCACAATACTTTTTCTGGACTGCATGAAGCTTCATGAACCATCTGTCAAACATGGGCAAGGATTACCAGCTACTGTCCATCTTTTGGCTAATGATTCAGTACTCTTACATATTGAACTCACTAAGGAAGAACTGAAGGTGGCAAGGTTACCAAATATAATCTGGTGGGGAAATTTATTTATCAAAAGTGGCTGAGTAGCACCACTGCTGGCTAAGCCCTACAGATTTTTGGTCTGTGGCTGATAGTAGGAGAACCAACAAGAGGGGAAAACTTACTTGACCTTGTTGTCATCAATCGACCTGCTGCAGACACATTTGCTCATTTGCAGACACATTATTGTTTGGATCACTGCCCAGTCTAAAGGAAATGAAGACCTGTCTTCACATTCAGGTCACCCTCCAAAGTGTGTGACACTACTACAGTATTAAGTGAGATAGATTTCAAATAGATATAGAAATTCAAAACTGGCCATGAGGTATTGTGGGCCATCAGCAGCAGAATTGTATTCAACCACAATCTGTAACCTCATGGTCTGGCATGTCCCCTACTCTACCCTACTATCAATGCTGATGATCAGCCTGGTTCAATGAAGGATGCAGGAGGGTGCGCCAGGAACAGCACTAAACACACCTAAAAAATGAAGCGTCAACCTGGTGAATCGACAACCACTTGCATGACAAACAGAAATAGCATGCAATAGACAATGCTAAATGAGCTCATAATCAATGGATCATGTCTAAGTTCTGCAGTCATGCCACATCCAGCTGCAAATGGTGGTGGACAATTAAATAACTCACCAGATGAGAAGGACCCACAAATATCCCCATTTTTAATAATGGGACAGTCCAGCACATCAGAGTAGAAGACAAGGCTGAAGCATTCTCATCAAAATTCAGCCAGAAGTACCAAGTAGATTGTCTAAATCTGTCTTCTCCTGTGGACTTCAACATCACAGATGCCAGTTTTCAAGTTAGTTCAATGCACTCTGTATGATAATAAGAAACAGCTGAAAGTAATATACATTGCAAAGGCTTTGACAATATTCTGGCAGTTATCCAGGACAATTATGCCCCAG